TATTTTCGTCTGCTTAGAGCCAGAAGGGCATCTTATTTGAACACACAGTCAATGCCCTTCTGGCTCTCATCAGATGATATTTTATCATATTTACGTTGTTAAAATTCTTTGATATTTCTTACAATATGTGTTTAAAACCAACTTACAAACAAACTTATATTTACGTATACATGCATACAAATTCATATAAAATTTATCTCTACTCGGTTTGTCATCCGTAATTCTACTATCTTGTTATTCTTTATGTGACATATGTTTTTGTTCTTATGTTTACTTTGTATTTTTTATTTTTTGTATATGCACAGCCCCATCGTAAAACAGCGTAATAGCTGAACTGGGATTTTACTGTGAGTAAAAAATGAATCAAATCAAATCAAATCAAATCAAATCAAATCATTTGTTCATGATGTGTTTGTAGCAGGTTCTAGAAAATGTTGTTTTAATTACTCTTGTAAGACTTGCTGTAATGTGGGGAGATTGGGCAACTGGTAAATATACACACGCTTGTGCGGGTATGCAGAAAGTGATGTCCATGCATCTCTCCCAGTAGGCTCTGTAATTGCCCGAAACCAAATTTTAGGGAAAATTCTTCGTATTGTAGCATTCATTGTATTACAATTTTTTGTTTGCAAGATAGCCAAAATGTGAAATAGAGATTAAGGGAATGATTATATCATCGACTGCTCTTTCTCCAAACCGGGGCGTTCATATTTGGAGGTTGTGGCAGCAACAGTAAGATGTTCTCTTGACAGTGATGTAGCGGCCCCTGTTTAATTCTGATAAATCTGAGAACCTTTTTTTGTCTTTCTTTCCAGATGTCGTAGATGCTGTTTTTGTCTGAAGAAAGATGAGAATTCCCAGATTGCATATGCAGAAGCCGCAGCTGTATTTCATCACTCTTTCATGTAAGATAAAGCCATATATCATCTTCCATGCCAGCGAGGGTCCAAACAATCATTCTAAATGATCATTCAAATGTTGAAATGTGACATTTTAAAATTTGGTTGGAACTATATCCCGTGCAAGAATCAAACTGAAATGTGGCACATAGATCTGGTTCACGAGGAAAAACAAAGGCGTTTTTTGTCTTGACACTGTTCTACACTTGAATACTTAGACAGGATTTGTTGTCCATTGCATGTAATACAGGGTTTTAAACGTTATTTAAGCTAGTAATATATAAAGTTTCAGCTGATTGCCATTTATATGTAAGAATTTTTCTTTTCATTTCTTTCATTTTTGGAGGGGGAAAGGAATAAGCAGCACATGGAACTTTGTTCATTGTCAAATCCACAAAAAATATTGTAAGACAAATTTTGATGGTGAAAAGTGTTTTAAATACAATGTTTTATAGAGTTTTTGCAGACTGTATTGTCAAAAAGTTCAATCACGCATCTCCTTGCCATAGGGGTTTATTTCATCACGAATATAGGGTAAGAAGTAAGTGTAGGAAAATACTGCAGAGCAATTGTCACAGGAGCATGTGTGGTACAATCACTCATCCTATTCTTTGTCTCATGTGTGTTCATGCCTGTCAAGTATGTGTAGTATAGTTTAATAACGTATGGTACCAGTCTGTTACAGGATTGGTTATGTGAGGGTATGGGGAACAGTTTTGTGTTTTGCAGAAGGCAAGATCAAAAGTTCCATCACACGTCCATTTTTAAAATCTTCTTGCAATTATTTCAGGGTGTAGATGTAGTCCTATCGGACATCGTAGCCGGTCTGATCCTGGTCCAGGTTGAGCAGCAGAGACAGATCAGGGATCAGATCCCCATGACAGCCTCCTGCAAAGATCCTGGACCCGATGTAGCCCTGCCCACGGAACCGGTGGAGAGGAGATTGGAAACCATGTGGTACTACTTCCGATACTCGATGGCCTCCAACGGCTGGCCCGTCCTAGTCGCTGCAGATCTCAAGTGCTGGCTGTGTAAGCTGTGCTGTGCTGGCAGGTAAAACAATATATTTCTTTTATTGGACAACATTTTATAACTTTTTATAACTACATGTAAGGGCTTGACACTAAGGGCTTGTTCAGATATGGTATGTTTTTTAACATGTAAATGAATGGCAACTCTGCTCAACAAAGGAGTTGCATATAAGCTTTGTGTTGTAAGATACAGAAATGTGAAATGTATCACACTTTATATCAAACGCTGCATCATATCTTAACAAGCCTTAAAACAAGCCTTTAAAAGGGGTCTGATGCACATTAGTCCCCAAATTTTCAATTCTACCCCAGAAGTTTTATAGGAGGCCTATGTAAACATGGCTTCAATCATTATTTTCCATTTAATAATCATAAATGGACTCAAATTTTCATGCGATGTTTGCTCTTTCTACTAATGTAAAACTTGTCATTCAGAGCATTCTGGATCAAAAGATAGAAATAAACGTCACTAAAAGGTGACTCTAATAAGCTTTGGGTTAACACTGTGACTTAATTATGCTTGTAAAATTACCACAGTCCATGAAAACATTTGTCTTTTCGAAGCTATTACAGTAGATGTCTGCTTTGAGTACCGGTATGCAGACTGCTGGCATTCATGATGATCAAAAAACAATCTTCAGACCTGACCAAAGCACTCAAAATCAATTTAGTTGCATCTACCAGTACATGACAAAGTGAGTTTTGCTTATGAATTATCCACCAGGTGCTGTGCCTGTATTAGACCCTCTGAGCGCATCATAGGTGATAACTGCTGTCAGTGTAACACCACAGCCATAAGATCCTTAGCAGGGCAGACGAGGAGGATCTGCTCTATGTCACCTTCAAAAATAAGGTAAGATTTAAACTGATGGGCAAGTCCTATACATAAAACATACCGTCCACATCTCAGATTTTAGTATACATGTATCTGATGTCTGTATCAAGCTGATAGCCCTTTAGACCAGGTCCTAGTTCGCTTTTGTACAAATGACCCCCAAATAATCAGAGATCTTTTACACATGGAGTACCGTATTTGCCGGCGTAAAGGCCGCAGTATTTTTGGAAGAGAAAATATCAAAAAGTCAGGGTGCTGCCTTTGCGGCGAAACAGTAAAAAAAAAAAAAATGTAAGTCAAAAACCAGCACGAATTTGCACATATGGGACTACGAACGGTAAAATAACTATACCACTATGGTACAGGACATTTCCACACATCTTACCAACAATTTTATCTTGCATTGTTGACTTGAAGACAAAAATAAACTTCCAAAACAACATCTGCCGATAGATCTTGATCTAAGTTCGTGCCAATGCATTGCAAAAGTTAAAAGAAGGGCCCGTTTAACGGAGCTGCCGCGAAGCATCTAGCAAGCGAAGTCGCCATTTTCAATCCATTTCAATGTATACATCAGAGAAAACTGCAGGGTATGGCATCATTGCGGGATGGCCGAGCGGTCTAAGGCGGTGATTTTGGTCACATCAACGTTTGTACGCAAGAGATCGAATCCATCTTCGACAATGTTTTTTTTTTTTTTTAGATGTCAAAATCGGGGGTGCGGCCTATGCGGCGCTGCGGCCTTATCGCCGGCAAATATGGTATTCGCTCTTTATGCATTTTAGAATCATCACTGCCAAAGTCATAGAAGTGCTTCAATATACCAGTCATGCCTCTATGCATTATGAAAACAAGTTTATCAATTAAACTTGTGAAGTGTACTCTCATAGGTCTATAAATAGAGGTGTTGTGGTCGCGTGGATACGTCGCCGGACTGTCGATCACAAGGTCCGCGGTTCGTGTCCTGCCGTTGCACTAATGTCCTTTGGCAAGACATTGATCTACATTTGCCACACTGGTAGGAATTTATTCCTTGAAACGCAGCGCGCGTAACAGCTGCACTGCTAAAGCTAGGGTAATTATTCTGCATTATTGTAGAGCGCTTAGAGACTTCTGACAAAGTAAGTGTAAGGCGCTATATAAGCACTGTAATTATTATTATATGACTGAAACATAATTGAAACTTGTTTAAATGATTTCTTTTTGAACAGATTTTCCAGAGTCCATTCTTCGTTGCCCTGGATCATACACATAAGTCAGTGGTCATCGCAATCAGAGGGACTCTTTCATTCAAGGTAAGAGCCATGGAAGTAAAAGTTATCTTGAATGAGTTTGCAAATCATGCAATAAAAAATATTTACTCTATATATGAAAAAAGGGATTTCTTAGCTTTTTCACTCTTTTTATGTAAAAATGAGGAGTTTCATAGATAAAGTGTCCCACCTGAAAAGGATTTCCCTTCAAATGCCTTCATCATTATTTGAAATATGATGACTAATAGCCGAGATGTGTGGACCAAACTATCAAGTCACATGTATGTGTAGTCCCATATACACATTTCTACATGTTGTTCATGTTACTTTCAGCAAGATTGAGTCCATGTCTTATTTGATGATTCTATAACCTCAGAGTCTTCACGAAATTCTTATGTATTTCATCATTAACTTTTCCTAATTGCATCCAGATAGTTTCTTTTACAATGTAATCACATGACCAGAACTCAAGTTCATCTCTAAAGTCTTGTTCAGATACAATGCAGCAAACGACAGTGTAATAGGCTTCACCTTTCTGTATCTTAAAATACAGAGATCGATGTTGCGAGCCGTTGCCATTCATTTACATGTACACACAGGCGCGTACACAGGGGGGGGGGGGGGGGGGGGGTTAGGGGGTTAACCCCCCCCTTTGGTATTTTATGTGTGTAAACCCCCCCCCCCCCCCACCACCCTAAACCCCCCCCCCCCCTTTGTTTGTTTTTTGTTTTTTAATTATTAAGAAAAAAAAAAAAAAAATGTATTCCCATAGCTGACCTAAAAAGGTGACCTTACCCTCCCCCCCCCCCCCAATGGAGCCAAATGTCAAATTTTTCAAATTTCGAGACCAAAAAAAAAAAAAAAAAAAAGTGTCCTCTTACACCCCCCCCCCCCCCCCCCCCCCCCCCCCCCCCCCCCCCCCCCCCCCCCCGGCTTATTCAGCGGTTGGCTGAGTCGTTGCAAAATTTTCGGCCCGATTTATGAATGTAAAACCCCCCCCCCTTGAAAAAATCCTGCGTACTTGCCTGTGTACACAACCTTGGCTGACTTTTTTGCAGTGGGTAATTACCACCCCATAGCTGAGCAAGCCTTGATTGATACCGGTAATGCCAATACCATCTCTCTTTGTAGGACATGTTGACCGATGTCTCTGCAGATGCTGAGAGGTTGGACATAGAGGGCCATGAGATCTATGCCCATAGAGGGATCGCCAACAACTCCAAGTACATCCTGAACAAACTAAAGGAGCTCAATCTACTTGAAGATGCATTCCAAAGACATCCAGTGAGTATATATTGTGTGCTTTGCTCAAAAGGGGAGTCCACCCTTACTGTGTTTTAACATATCTCATCTCCTTACCTCTGCCAAAGCCAAAATGTACGTACTTTTAGTTTGATTGATTCAAGCATATAAGTTCTGCTTCATAATGGATACTGAGCATCAAAATGACATCAAATCTTAATTATCAACACTTATTGAAACATGCGTAATCAAATCATTATCATTATTGTATCCCCCGGCAGTATGCCGGTGGGGTACTTTGGATTCAGCAGCGTTACGCCGCCGCCGCAGCCACGTCATATTCTTGTGTGCGCTCTAACTGCCACATTCCTTGACGGATTTCTTTCAAATTTTGTATGGAGATGTATCTTGGTATAATCTACACACCTATAACTTTTGGTGATGCTGTCACCAGTGTTCCGTCTTCTATAGGGTAAAAGGCCATATTTTTGTGGATGTCTTGTGTGCATTCTAGTGTGCAGTCTAACTGCATCATTTCTTGACAGATTTCTTTCAAATTGAGTATGAAAGTGTATGTTGGTAAACTCTATACCCCTATACTATTTTTGGTGATGCTGCCACCAGTGTTCCGTGTTTTATAGGGTCAAAGGTCATATTTTGGTGGGTGTCAAGTGTGCGCTCTGTAGGTCATATTTCATGACGAATTTCTTTCAAATTTTGTATGGAGGTGTGTCTTACTACAGTCTACACACCTATCACTTTTGGGCGAAGCTGCCCTCATTGTTCCGTCTTTTATATGGTCAATGGTCAAATATCTTTTATGCGCTCTAACTGCCACATTTCTTGACAGATTTCTTTCAAATTGGGCTCATACATGCTGCCCGCCCCCTAAAAAAATAATAATAATAATAATCTCAGTCTGAACCCATCCCCAAAAAATTATTATGGAGCCCTGTTTTTCATTAAATATTTCTATTGATTTTGCATCAAAGCCCAATGTTCAATTATAAAAAGATTACTATTTCTTTCAATTAATTCTCAGGAATACAAGTTAGTTATATCAGGTCATAGCCTTGGAGCCGGGGTGGCGGCCATCTTGTCCATCCTTCTCCGAGAGCAGTACCCAGAGATCAAAGCATATGCCTTCGCACCCCCTGGTGGCCTTATCAAGTACGTCTAAATTTGTTTTGGTTTTTGCATTCGAGGTATACTAGCTATTATATCCATGTCTAAACTTTGCAATTTTGCAACATTTATAAATATGTTCTTCTTCCAAAGGGATACTTTTTTATTGTCGGCCATATGTGAGAAATCTTTCAACACAACCATTCTAACATAAAATGAGATCTTGCTTTGTGATTCTATGTGAGTTTATTCTTTCAATTTTGTTTTTGTCTTCTTCTTTCTCAGTGCTGAAGGAGTATTATACTCTCAGAGTTTTGTTACTGCAGTTGTCCTAGGAGAAGATATAGTTCCAAGGTGGGTATGGACTCCATTTTTATGGATAGTCCAAGAACTATTTCCAACAATTGTAACTATTTGATGATCAATGTATAGCAATTTTAGACCAAGAACAAAAATTGCTAATTTATTTCATAGTGTTGCCCTAAAGGAATCTTCTACCTTCATTTTTGTTATGAAGTGGAAAATATTCTTTGCTATCTCTACCTGTACAAAAATTGCTGAAATAGGGAAATGAAAGTCATATTAGCATGACACTGTAGTATAACCTACACTTGTACATTTTTGGTATTGATGTTCTTATTTTTTCACTTGTGTTTTACAGGATGAGTATGTGTACTATTGAGCAGCTCAGGGATTCATTAATTGAAGTCATTAAGAGATGTCCAGTGCCTAAGGTAACATTCAACATACATAAATCACTCAGTCAATTACATAATAATGTGCATGTCCATTTTGGAGGCATTATGTTTTCGGGTTGTCCGTCCGTCCGTCTGTCTGTACGCCCCGTTCTCGCGATCGCGTTATCTCAAGAACCAATTGGTGGATTCCTGCCAAACTTGGATCATGTACGTATCTTGCAGGGCCAATGAACTGATTAGATTTGGGGGTCATGAGGTCCAAGGTCAAAGGTCGCATGGCTCATTATGTATGCAAAAATAGCTTGTGATCGCGTTATCTCAAGAACCTATCGATGGATTCCAGCCAAACTTGGGTCATGTATGTATCTTGCAGAGCCAATGAGCTGATTGCATTTTGGGGTCATGAGGTCAAAGGTCATTGGGTGTATCATGTTTGCAAAAATAGTTTATGATTGCATTATCATTAGAACAGATGGACGGATTACCATCAAACTCAAAACATGTACATTGTATGTACCTTGCAGAGCCAATGAACTGAGTAGATTTGGGGGTCATGAGGTCAAAGATCATGTATATGAAAATAAAAGCTTGTAATCATGATATTCTGAGAACCTTATTACCTCTGTTTTAGTTTGAAAAAACGCTATATGGCGGAGGCATCATTGTGATTTTTTTTTTTTCCTTTGCCTTAATTGCTGAAAATTACAAAATGTTAAAACCATTACACACATAAAATTTGTTCATGTGATTGCACAATCATGTCTCTTTAAAATCATTTTCCACAATGCTGTTAATTACTGAATGATTTGAAATATGCGTGCATTGCAAGAGTGATCATTTGCATGTAACATTTCTCCACATGGAAAAATGTTTTCGTGATCACCGATAATCAACCTTCTCTATGAAATTGCCATGACTGATTTGACAATAAATACCATTTTGAAGTAGAGGTAGTTGTAGCCTAGTGGATAATGTCACCGGACTGTGGAACATATGGTTTGTGGCTTGAGTCCTGCTGTGGCGCAAATATTCTTTGGCAAGATATTATTCTACATTTTCCACTCTAATGGGTACCTGGTAGGAATTTATTCCTTGAATGGTTTTAGTGCCTTGGGAAAGCTGGGCTAAAGCAAGGGTAATCATAGTTTTTAGTGGATGTCTTGAGCATCAGTTGGGATGGAAACGTGCGCCATATAAATGTAGCTATTATTATTATCATTACAATTTAAATATTTTATTTTATTTTTCAGTACCGAGTCATCTTGCGTGGTCTTTGGTACACTTGTAAAGGTCTTCCAGAGAATCTCCCATTATCCTACAACGATCTGGATCACGAGGATGGGCTGTGCTGTAACCCCCGGGAGCCCCTCCTGCCTGCCAGCCCTAGAGGGGCAGAGCAGAGACTCCTGGCCACTCCTACAGAGGAAGGGCATGGCAGTAGAGAAGGTAAGGATAATTTATATATAAGTAGAATGTATCAAATCAACATCAAAAGATATTACTTGGCATTCTATAGGTAATATCTATAGGACATCCGGCCGAAATGTCATGACAATTTGAAATACATCATTTTTTACGAATACTGCCAGGGATTCAAAGTAATGTAAGAGAAAAAGTGATTTTAAACATATCCTACATTGTTTGCTACGTTTCATGTTTGGAACTTAGTGGCATCTATCAGATGGTGACGTCAAAGTTGGTTCTGTAAGCATCAATCAATTGCCGGAGCAATACTATCTTCTTCTTCTTCTCCCTCTCCTCCTTTTTCTCCTTCTCCTTCTCCTTCTTTTCCCTCTCCTTGTCTTCTTCTTCTCTTCCTTCTCTTTCTCTTCCTCCTTCTTCTCCCTCTCCTTTGTTGTCTTCTTCTTCCTCACCTTTGTTGTCTTCTTCTTCCTCTCCTTTGTTGTCTTCTTCTTCCTCTCCTTTGTTGTCTCCTTCTTCCTCTCCTTTGTTGTCTTCTTCTTCCTCTCCTTTGTTGTCTTCTTCTTCCTCTCCTTTGTTGTCTTCTTCTTCCTCTCCTTTGTTGTCTTCTTCTTCCTCTCCTTTGTTGTCTTCTTCTCCCTCTCCTTTGTTGTCTTCTTCTTCCTCTCCTTTGCTGTCTTCTTCTTCTCCTCCTTTTTATCCTTCTCTTTCTCTTCCTCCTTCTTATTCTTCTCCTCCTTTCTCTTCTCCTTCTTTTTCATCTCCTTTCTCTTCTACTCCTTTCTTTTTCTCCTTTTTCTTCATATCCTCTTTTCTCTTCTTCTCCTTCTCCTCCTCCTCCTTCTCCTCCTTCTCCTTCTCCTTCTCCTCCTCCTCCTCCTCCTCCTCCTCCTCCTCCTTCATCTCCTCCTTTCTCTTCTCCTTCTTCTCTCTCTCCTTCTTTTTCTTATCATCATTACTCTTACTTCCCCCTCCCTGTATTAGGAAATGGTGGGATCCATAGTGCTGTATCCATTGAAGTGGATGTTGCTGCTGACGAGCGTGGTGCATCGTCTAACGGCAGACACTCCAGTGTCACAGGTGGTAAGGAGTTCATGGCCCTCTATCCACCGGGTCAGATGATCTGGATCACTCGGAGGGAGATGCATTCTGGGTAAAAAAATCTTCTTCATTCTGTACACCACTGTAAAGAAATCAGCATGCGAATGGGAGCATTAAGTTGGTTGGATAATTAGGAATTCGAACGACAGTGATTATTTAACACCATTAGTGTTCATTCATTGGAAATAGTATTCACATATTCCAATGTCCATGGTTTTAATTCATTGTTAATCATGTATCATTGGCTTTTTGGACTAACAAATTTGTAAATGAAGTACAAAATCATGTTGAAATTGTGCACACATGCACATACATGTATGGTATTGGTAGAATAGGTCATTTCATAATGTTTTTTAATTTAATGCATACGTCTTTGTGAAGTGCCTTGTACAAAAAATTTCATTTACTTGTTAGGAATGATTGTATTTTAATAGGTCACAATGCAAATTGCACACATTACGTGTTGTGAGGTAGGGCAAGCCATAATGTTTGTTCTACCTAGCAACAACTAATGTATGCAATTCACAATCGGGATATCAACATACAATAATACATAGCAGGTGAATGTAATAGCTCATTGCCAAGTCATATTGTATAAATTTGAATACATATTGAAAATGGTTTATCTAGCAACCATGAGATATTTATTTTACGCCATCAGATATTAATCAAATAAATAAGAGATGATTTATAGAGTCATTCTAAAACAGTTGAAAGGTTGGTACCAATGAAGCGTACGTGTAGTCGAATGAAAGTCTAAATACATTTTGCAGATTTTTTCGCTTCCAGAACTGAACCACAATACCGTTTAAAATTCAATTTGAGTTGATTTGCAGTTTGATGATTCATAATAAATCTTCCCCATCTCTTTTCCCAGTGGTTGCTGTGGATCAAAGGACGAATACCGCGCTCGCTGGGTGACCCATCGTCAGTTTGACCACATCGGGGTCCGGCCTGGCATGATCAAGGACCATCTACCAATAGACATCAAAGACGCCTTTGCTTGGTTGGTGGACCAGGTCAAGAACGGTCATGTTGTCCATCCGGATGTATCATGATAAATGGAAGGAGACCAGAAATAGTCGGCCAACCCAGATTTTTATGAACAAGACATACCGTAGGCTAGTATTTTCATCAGCTATAACTGACTTCAAGACCTGAGATCTGTTTCATACAACTTGATATTAATAATGAGATGCGAAGATTGTTACTGAAACCCTCTCATTTAAAGGGATAGTTGAGTTCTTTTTTCAGACCGCAAATGCCTTGAAAGTGCATGGTTATTGCTCTTATTCTTATCTATGACATTTATAGTGCCCTTTTAGAACCTTAAATTGCTATGAAGGTAATGTTAGACCCTAAAATGTGTGAAATTTAGCCAATACGATCATACCAATTCAGCTCCGCTTTAAAAAAAACACGGTGACCGTTAATTAATTATTTAATTAAAAATAACAAAACATGAGCCGGCTGATTGTGGGTAATATAAGCAACACGAAAATGCCAACAAAAAAGCCATCATCGGCATTGGCTGAAATACGACGTAAAAGGCGTTATTTCGTGGGTTTTTTTAACTGTTTTTTCAAATTTGTCAAAATATCTAATATTTGTGGTGGTAAGTATAAGAAATCGTTATATTTCAGTCGTCTCTGAACCGATTTTGATCAAACAAAGATGATTTTGTCATTTAAATATTATGTTCTTTCGAATTTAACACTCAGTTTTTCATTCTCTCACAAAAAAAATATTTTGTGTAGCACCCTCTGCAACAGAACTCAACTATCCCTTTAAATGGCTATGAGCAGATTTATCATATATCTGTGGCAGTTGTTAGTGATAATGATTTTTTTATGAAGCAAGGCCCTGTTTTATAAAACTTGTTATCAATAACAAGTTAAAAATAACTGTTATAAGCTACTGAAATCATGGCATTTGATTGGCTGAGTTTAATGAAACAGGACCCAGGTTTAATCCCTGTCCTGAATGGATAGAGTTAGACCACTGATTTCTGGAGTGCCATGTGTAAATCTCTTCTTATTAAAACTGATCCAGTTCTGTAACTGAATAAATAAACAAATATTGCCACGAAAGAATTATCATTTCATGATATTATTGTCACCCATCGTCAACAGATATGGAGTGGTTCCTGTATTAAGTCTAGGGAATTGAGAGAATTTTTCAGAGGTTATTTGTTAATTTTCTCACATAATTACAGTAATTTATTCAGAATTGAAAGATTGACACTTGCACTCTACAAATTAAAGAGCTTACTTTAACTATATTTTAATCATTCTCCTTCATGAATATAGGCTACGCCCAAACATTGGTAGGACAAATGGCTGCATTATTGAAAGTGAAGGCTTTATGTGGCAGAGAAAAAGTACATATTTCAAAAAAAGCCTAGCCTGGAGTAGGATAAACGAACAGAAGTACTTGAAACATTCTGATGTTACAGGTCGATATATTTTTTTGATTCCTTGAAAGATAGGAAAGAATGTTGCACATGTTGACTTGTGTTTGACATAATTTTTTTATTTTTTTATTTTTTTATTTTTTATTTTTTTTGATCTTTTTTTTTTGCTCAAAAAAATATTTTAAGGATCTTTCCACATTTCCAATTTCTAGGCTGATCACAATGTTAACATACTACTGAAATATTTGCTCTTTCACTATTTTTTCACAGAGAGGACTTTTTAAACAATTAAATATGAAAGTTGTTGAATGGTATGTGTTTTAATTTGGCAGGGTAAATCTGAGAAATCTTTTTCAAATTGTGATATTGATTGAACCAAGTGCATTTTGTGTTGATTTTATCTCGTGCCTTTAAGCAAAATTTATTAAAGGAGACTTAACAAATATTGTACACATTCTGTTATGCCAAATTTGATCAGTGCTTAATGTATGAAGATTGTTTAGATAACCGTTGTGTGGTCATCTATGTATGTGTAGTTTTTTAAATGTTATATATTAAGAATTTTTTATTTACAGATCATTAAATTTGATGCAAAAACGAAGTACAGAGTCCCGTACTTGTGAACAAATATCTATTCGATAATAAATGTTATATATGTTTAAATATTTTGCTATTTTATTTTGTTACTGTGCTAACTTTTTATGGCTTGAATGCATAACAATGAAATTACTGTGGTGGTTTTGAAATTATATCCTTTTTACAGGTGCTTTCAACGTTGTCATACATGTACCTTTCAAAGTGAAAATTGTAACTGATTGTAATGTATTGTAACGTCAAACACAATGTATGTTTGATTTTATGTTTGGTGATGGTTAAAAACGGAGATATTATGTGTTGTTTATTAGAATGTGTATTCCAAATCCTAACATTATGTAAATAGAGAAATAACTTACTCATACTTTTCTCATGTGGCAAGTATTGAAGTGATTGCTTCAAGAAAATTAGAATTCATATCAATATGCTTATGAAGGATAAAAATTAAATAATTCTAGGACATACTAATATATTCATAAAATACCAAAGATATTTATATGTCTTTTTTCATAATCTTGCTGACTAGTTTTCAAGTAGATAAGTTCATTTTGCTTGAAAGGTCATATAGGACCTTTGTATGTTTTTGTGCTATTCTGCATTTGGTTTATTCACCAAAATTTAGAGCTATACAATTGTACTTAATATGAAATATGTTTTGAAGTTTGATTTGTTTTCTTTTACATTTTATATGTCGCTATTATTGTTTCTGGATCTTCTTGTGTTTTTTGTGATTATGCAAACTCATGCAAGATAACTTGCCTTTATTAAGATGCACACTTCTTGCAGATTGTGGACTTGAATGAATACAATCTACTTAAATTTTCTTAATTTTCAAAAGCTGAAGCAAAAGATGTGTTTTTGTTTCAATTCATACTGAAATATGTTTATACCTAGGCTGGTATTCAATTCAATACTCGGATTTAACCGAAATTAAGCGAATGAACTTATGCCAAAATACTTTGCAAATTTGACAGCACTTGGCCAATCCAAATAAGCTATCTCCAAATCTATCACATATTTGCTTGTTTGCAAGTAGTGAATTATGGTCATATTACCTTTGGGCCCTCTACCGGTCTTTTGAAATAAATGTTTTAAGTGTACCAATCACCTAAAATTAAAGATAAACCTTAGTACTGGTAATGCGATTGCATTGCGAAAGAAAAGGTGTGGAAAGGATCAGAAACAGTTGATCATGTAGCATGTAAGTATTGGTGTGCACTGCAAGGTTCTGGAGTCATCAAAATCATAATAAATTTGACCGAGTCTTGGTAAAGTAACAAGCACTGTACACAGAAAGCTATATATGGGACAACACACATGGTGTCGGGGCTAGTACTACCTTGATTTCCTTGTCTTTCTATGCTCATTACTCAGCCAGTATACATTTTCTTCCAAAATTGTTTGGCACATGTCATGTATTTGTAATCTTGAACATTCAGTGTAAGTTTCCTTTGATTCTGTGAGAATTAATTTTCTTTTTTTTATCAGAACTGGAGTATATCTTTAATTTTGTGTATACAGCTATCGTACATGAAATGGACCTTTCAACAAAAACAAGGAAGTTGTCTGACTTAACAATTGAATACCGACCCAAAATTTTATTTGTTTTCATTATTGTAGACAGTACTGTTGAAAAGTGTTTTTTGTGAAGTATTGAATTAGTAGTACATGTACTGTATTTTGTGTGCAAATTTTTAAAATTGATGTGAACATTATAAATTTGTTGTGGTGAACATAAAATTATAGGATGGAGAAGAAAGTGATTTTTATTCAACATTTTCTGTTTGAGAAAAAGTAAGTAACTTGCCAAAATGTGTGTCTTGATGTTGATTGACAGGTTATTCATAAGAGTAAATTATAACGTATTTGCAATTGAAATTTGTATATTGTTGGCAATGCAATGGATAGTAAGAATTTCAGTCCATAATTTGATATTAAGAAACAAAATCCAATAAAAGATTACTAATAGCACAAGGCAAATTAAAATTTGATCTAAATTGAGGATCTAAACACAAAATCATAGACCAGGTCTTGCATTTTGTTATACAGGTAAAAAAATAATTGAACAAATTTATTATCCTTTGTTAAACAGTGGAACATAAACATGAAGTTGTTTACAATTATAATTCAGAAAATTTGAAAAAAAATATATCTGCCAGAAGTACACTTGGATCAACAAACCAGAGTTGTAGCCCACACATCTCTAAAAATTATCAGTGTTGATGAAAATATATACTAATTTCAGAATGTTCAATGGTATGTTTTATATATATCCTTTTTTTATGGAACACTAAAATGTTTTATACTTTGCTATATTGATGCCAATAAAAATTAATTCAAAAAAATAAAGTAAAAGTGTAACAATTTTGTTTTCCTTTGGTGTTATCTTATAGCATCCACTTCTTTTGCGGTAAAAAAGACTGTGTTTTTCTCTCAATGAGTGAAAATTGCATCCCTCATTTTGTACTCAATAAATGGGATGAATAAAACACTGCCAGTTGCAAAACTGAAATTTGAAAATATCTTGCCACCATACTTATAGGAAAGTTTCAATTATTATTGTTTACAACATTTTGGCCCTTTCACTATTTTTTTTTTAGATTTTCACCAAGCAAATCCCTGCAACGCCCTTTAAAATTGCTTTCACTTTCAACTTAGATTTAAAATACCTTTGCAACTGCTTTGCTGATGCATTTTCTTTGATAGGTACTCATGACATCCGCCATTTGTTTCAAATAACACATATTCATAATTAAAACACTAAAATCAACTATATCCCAGCAATTTCTTTCAGCCTATTTTCATATAAATGTAAATGCCTTTTCCTAAAGCTCATGCAACCATGATTTAATGAATGATGCATTCATTTTTATATCATAATCATGAACACTGAGATACGATAGCAGTGAAGGTAAGGTCTTCGTACTTGTAACTGAAGTTCATCTTTTTTCATTCCTGGACACAGAGACATTGTATGATCTCATTTGTTAATGGAAGAACAGATTTCATGATTTCCTGGACATATGTATCTCTGCTACAACGCACTTCCTCAAATGGACCCATATCATCAATCTGCAGAGAGCCTAAAAGGCGTAAACTCTGTGTGAAGTTAAATTCTTGTACACCCTAAGGCACTCACCAATATAATTTCTCATCTGATTTTGACCCACATTGAAGGCACTCTCTATATACTTGTATCAAAAGTTTATCTACTTCATCTGTGGGTACAAAGACGCTTTTAATATCTTTAAAAAACAATATGGAAGTGCGGTTTTCACGATTTCCTGAACATTTGTCATGGCACTTTCCGGAAAATGAACCCAAATAATATTTGCCTGCAGAGAGCCAAACAGGTATCGATTCCATTTAAAGTGCTGATAGTTAATACCCTTCTGGTTTTCAAGTTTCTGCAGAGGACTAGACTCTGCAGACAGCCCAATGAGCATTAACTGAACTCCCTGTATTAAAAGTGCAATAGCTGACCACCCTTCTGGCACTCAGCTAACAATTTTCATCCAATTTTTCACCAGTTTCAGGCACTGCCTGCATACTTGTATCAAGAGTTCATCTACTTCATCCATGGACACAAAGACACTATAATATCATTTTTTGTTTACATGGAAGTACAGATTTCATGATTTCCAGGAGATATCTCTGTGAGTTATCTGACCTTTGCTCCGGCAACAACAAAGCTCATGCTTTCTTTCATCGAAAATAAAGGGTCGAAGTTGGAGTTGAAACTGGGTTTAAAGTTGGGTAGGGTTACAGTTATGGTTAAGTATAGCATTTGGTCAAGGGTTGGAAGTTCAGAATCCAGTTAATGTAGAATATTGACTGCAGAACAATTGTCGCCAGAGCACATGTCGCACAACCATCTTGGCCATGGCGCACTCCTGAAAATGGAACAAACTCATTTCACCTGCTGAGAGCCCAAAGGTACTAACTCCATGAAAAGGATACATGGGATTGCTTAACGCCCTTCCGGCCCTCAACGGACGATTTCTCTTCCGATTTTTCAGCAGCCTTCTTTAAATCCACCTCCACCATGTCGCTGTCTACCGAGACCAAGACCACCTGGTCCCCGCGAATGAAGAGTTGGTTGACATGACGACGCTTGAACTCCTCCGGCTGAATTAGACGCTTTCCGGTCTTTGGGTCGAGATGAACGACCTCCTTCATGGTTTTTGTCTCCTTACCATCCTGACTCTTCACGTCTGTGAGTTTCACAGGCTCTCTGCCAATAGTAAGAGTCTTTGAAAACGCTTGTGACAAAGATGATGATGATGCAGTTGATTTTTTACTTGATGATGATCGTGATGGTGCAGATGATGTTCTCGATTTTGATGTTTGTTTTGATACTGATGATGGTGTAGAGGATGTCTTTGAAGTCGATGATGCTGTTGTTGAAGTATGTGACGATAACGTAGACGATTCTTGATTTGTTGCTGATGTAGTCATTCTAGAAAGAAGTAAATCTGACTTTCTAGTATCTGACAGATTTGATGATGATGAGTTCTTAGCCTTTGCGGAAGATGTTTTTGATTCTCGAGTGGATGCAGTAGCCATTGAAACAGATTCTTTGACAGATGCCCCCTCTTTGGTACTCTTCCCAGCTCCCTCTGCTAGTCTAGGTCCTGAGCTCGAAGCTGCAGTCCACAAAGAGTCTGAAGATTCTAAAGTCATTCTCTTGGCAACAGAAGAGGTAGATATCTTTGAGGTTGATTCTGCAGCAACATTAGCACCAGAAAAATCCTTCTTACTAGACTGACTGTCATCGGATTTGGAGGATTGAGGTCTCCGAGATTGGGTTCTTAATCTTTCATGGCCATTCGGACATAATCTAGATGGTCTTCTAGGTGTTTTCTGCTTTCTCCTTGCCTTCTCCATTTTCACTTTGTCCACCTCCTTCTCTCCATCACTCTCACTCTCCTCTGTGCTTGAGTACTCATCAGTCCCGCTACTGCTGCTCTCGCTGTTGGACCAATCTTGAGATGCCTCCGTATCTCTGGAATCACTCGCAGCCCGCTGCTCCATGAGAGCTTCGTGCTTAATGCGGCAGAACTTGCACTCCTTGGCGCGCTTCTTGCCACCAGCGCCTTTCTGTTCCTGCTCTGAAGGCTTGGGAGGGTCTGGTTTCTTGGGCGGAGGATTCAAGTTGGACATGATCTGAAGGAGAAGGGGGCACAGTTGTTACATGTAGTTTTGGGGTTTTGTGAGAAAATGTCTGCAATGGATGGATCCCTCCTGATTTTGTTACAACCTAAAAGCCATTCAATTATACAAAGTGTATACAGTTGTTTCTTGATCATACAATCACTGTTTTCACTATATGTATAAATGATGCATGCATTGTCACAAAATTTAATAAAATTTTAAAGGAATTTTTAATTATATTTTAAGAAAAGATGCTGAATGAATAAAAAGATATGATTAGAAATAGATAACCCAAATACTAGCAAAAAGATACACAATGCCCAACTATGTTTCATAAAAATATCGGAATTGAGAATTTGAGACTGCAAAGAAAGAATGAGAGAAAAAGGTAGAGAGAGATAGAGAAGGGAAGAGAGGGTTAAAGGGAGCAAAATACGGGAAGCAAGAAAGGGAGAAAGAGAGAGTAAAAGAGAGAGTGAAAGGGAGGGAGCGAGAGAGAAACAGCAACGGTAAAAGCCAGAGAAAGATATATAAATGCACAGATACACAGAGAAGGGGAACAAAACACTGTACTCACCATGGAGTATGTGACTTTCTCTTCATGATGGAATCTCTTTCCAGTTGAAGGCCTCTTGTAGATTTCAACAACATCTGTTAGAGCCTAGACAAGTAATACACACAAACAATGAAGCCTTGGAATTGTTGTTTTCTGGTTATCTCTTTTATCTTGATAATCAAACTTGTTTCTGTCCTTTTAAAGACCTTTCCATCCCAGACCTGCCAACATCTGGAGTACAAAAACTGTATTCTTTAATCCCAAAAGTTGTATTTTTCTGACAAAAGTTGTATTCTTAAAAATAAACATGGACTGTTACGCGGATCAATGCCTCTTACAGTTTCTACATACAGGAAGAATTTTTTTTATGGATCATTGGTTGAATATGAATAATTTCGTCACGACTGGTGTGTTCGATGAACCAATGAACATCCCCAAATTGCCGATGTGAGTTCCTTTATAGGACAGAATAGGCATTTTGCCATTGATTTTTTTTTTTTTTTTTTTTGAAAATCGTATTTTATTGAGGAAAATCGTACTGTCGTATTTGCTTCTAAAAATCGTACTAAATACGACTAAATCGTACTGGTTGGCAGACATCCCCCCTCCCTCTCTCTTCCTACCTCTTTCACATCTGAACGTATATGCTTATCAATCCTCCTACTCTTTTTCTAAACTTTAGTCCTTCGATCTTCATCCATTCCTCAAGATTTAAAATTGTATAGTGCCATTTTACTTCTTTCCCCCCCTTAAATCTTGCAGCTATGATGCAAAAAATGAAAGAAACTGTTTCATACTGCATGACTGCACATTTATCATGCCACAAAGCAATTGACCCTAAATACTGACTCTGCTATCCCAGTTCCACCACCAAACCGACTCAAGAACGACTCCAAACGGAATTTTTGTTGGCCAATGGGGGTAGTTTTAATTGTTTGTTCTGTAGTCGGTCTGGTGTCCGTCTTATTGGTGTGACTGACGTATTACGGTACCCTGAAGAAGTCATCCTCATTATCAAAAGCTCACAGTTCAAAGCATACCCTTATGGTTATAAATGTAACTGGACATGTCTGTTCATCTTATACCAGAACCCAAGGGGTAATCCACCCTGAGGCATTCTACCTCATAGTAGGTTAACCCGTTGACTATGGAATTCTCTCATTCTCACAGATTTAATATAGGGGCCACCAGGTTGCAGTAGGCAATGGATTAAATGATCACACCTCAAAGAACATCAAAGGATGAAGGCATTTTAAGTAGCAGAAGAATCTTTCTTACCATATTCCAGATTTTGTCAAAGGCCACCAGATATCCGATGCAGATACTACGTAGCCCCTTGAAGCTACGGATGCATACCCGGACTTTACATCGCTTCTCAACACATTGCCTCAGAAGATCTAAAGGTGATTCCTTTGTATCTATGAAAAAGAAGGGAAAAAAATGTGCTAAATTAATGACTTATATGAATGGTCAGCAAACTGAGCAAATACTTTTCTCCTTTTAATCCAACAATTTTGAAATCATGTTTGTAATTCACAGAGTTCCCTGATGGAGCTTATAAAGTCAGGTGTATTGAAATTTACAGCTAACAGTTTTTATTATATTGATATCTCATTGCACATTTGTCAAAACACGCCTCTATGAAATAATATACTCTTGCCTGAATCGAGGAAAGGGAAATTATGAGTTTCAGTAAATGAGGTACAGAGATAAAACTTTAAGTTAGATTGCCTACAACTGTACAACAATGAAAATTCATAACTTTCTAAGCCCTTTAAATTATTGTGGATTTTTCCTCAAAATTTCATCTGATCTGTTTCCCTATCTGCTTTTATCAAATTAAATTATCATCAGGGTCAACTCCCCCTCTATGATCTTAAGTAGTTGTAGGACATATACTCAACAATTGCTTCCTCCACTAACCAAATTCCTAACAATGAACACAGCACTTTTTGAGCCTCACCCTACCCTAACCATAAACCTAAACGTAAAACCCTATCCCATCCCTAACCCTATTCATGGCGACAATTGCAGAGCACCTTCCGCTGGAGCAGAAGTCGGTCCCCTCTTTAGAAGTACAGTCAAACCTGTCTATAAAGGTCACCCAAGTGAAACGGGAAAACTGGTCACTATAGACAGGTGGCCTTTGTAGACAAGTTCTTAAATACATGTTTCCTCCAAGAGGGGGGCAATATGGGTGTCCACTATAGACAGGTGACCTTTATAAATAGAGAGGTGGCTGCTAGGACAGGTTTGACTGTAGATAATAGACTTACGTTCACTCTCCATGCGAGATATGACGTTGAGCTGAAACATCTTCCTTTGTTGGTATGTACTCCTTGGAAGCTCTTTCTCTTTTTCTCTCATGTGCTCCAGATGACGCTGTGTAATAACAACAATATTGATAATTTAGAAGTGCTACTAACAAAGAGTACCATAGCGCTTACAAAATCACAGAATGTGAAGAAAAACTATTTGAGGTTTTGTTTACATCACTCTTCACATCTGTATAGGCAAATGGGTGCCAATTAAGGTTGGGTAATATCAATATCATATCATATTCTATTATCACCAAGCCTTAAACTTTAAAAGCTATGTCTAACTAGAATCTAGTTAAGAAAAGTGCATATTTTGAGTAAGTTCGATGGGTTTTGCTAGGCCCAAGGGCTAGATAATAAAATTAGATATGATATTGATCTCATCTAGCCGTAATTGGCACCCATATACCCGCATGAAGAGTGATATAAACAAATCCTAAAAAGCGTTCATAATCATCAATTCCCCAACCGACAAAACATTGCACACTGGCTTAGGAGTTTGCTGGTGGACTCTACTTTCTTCACATTCAAAGCACTTTAAATCCGCCAAGAATTTAATAAAAAATATGACTATGAGAATATGTTATCAAAGTAAGTATCAAGTTGGCAATGCAAAAACAGCTTTTTACATGTAAAATGATGCATACCGCTTGTCTTCACATTTCAACCAGAACTAAAATTAACAACTCTCGTAAGAGGTCAGCGTTTTTGTTATGTAAATCGAACCTTAACTAATTTTCATTAGGAACATGTGGAAGGTTTAAAAAATCGCTCAAGGAGAACAGTATGAATACTGATGAGGCTACCCTGGGTAAACAAGATATATTATTATTATTATAACTCCGGTAGCAAAATCTTACATTTTTAATTTATTTCTTGAACGATTTCAAAGTGTTTTTTTGAGAAGCAGGAAGAGTTCACCAATGCCAATGGCACATAGAAGAGGGGTGATAGTGAGCACAACCACACCCCCCTTGATTTAAAAAAAAAGAAGGGGAGATTCAGGTGGAAAAAAATGGCATCTCACAACCTCCCCCCCCCCCCCCCCCCCCTTTTGAGTAAGAAAATTGAGAAAAAAATTGGGGAAAATTGGGGAAAATTGGGGAAAATAGGGAAGATTAGGGAAAATAAGGGAATAATCGGGAAAATGATTCGTCTAGGATACCGTCTGTATGGGGAATGTCAACAAATGTCAGTTTATTTTAAGAAATGACCGATACCAGATGGTTATTTCTGTGTAGGTACAGTAATACAAGTGCATCTGATCATGCAAACATTTTGGCGCTTGTTCAGAAACGTATCCAAAATTTGACCGTAACTTCGGCGTGGAGATACCCTACTAAAACATACCCAAAATGAAGAAAATATTCATTAAATGTCCAAATAAAGATCATGAGTTAAAATTTGTTATGTTTATTAGATCTACCTGTTTCGTGTCAATTTTCTTGTTTTTTTTGGAGTATTTTTGGGAAAAGCGTTGATATTAGTATACACTTTTTCACAGGTTACACGGCAAACCGCTGCACAATACAAGTACATACCGATGGTGGGTTGCGGGCGGGCGCGCACCTGTGTGAAGTTATCTACCGTAATAGGATCTGAAACATTACGGTAGATAACTTCACACAGGCGCGCTCCTGCCCTCAACCCACCATCGGTATGTACTTGTATTGTGCAGCGGTTTGCCATGAAACCTGTGAAAAAGTGTATACTAATATCAACGTTTTTCCCAAAAATACTCAAAAAATAACAAGAAAATTGACATGAAACAGGTAATAGACTAAACATAACAAATTTTAACTCATGATCTTTATTTGGACATTTAATGAATATTTAATTCAGTGGGTATGTTTTAGTAGGGTATCTCCAAGCCGGAGTTACGGGTCAAATTTTGGAAACGTTTCTGAACAAGCGCCAACATTTCTGCCCACCCGGGCCGTGGCAGGGGTGCTGCCGTCATAGTTGGTAGGCGTCACTTACCCGCTCCAATGCACGCCTTGACGGCGGAGCACATTTTTGCTCTTGTCCTTTCGTGTCCCCTTCATCTTTGCTCATAAAACGCTCATATTCAGCTAAATTGTTGAAAATAGAAGCATCCGCAACTGGAAGGATTACATTTGAAGCATATAATGCTTTTAAAGGATTAAAATTGGGTGACAAAACATCGATTTCCTCGTCGTTTTTCTCCTCTTCCTCGCTCCCAGAAACGTCCATGGGCGCCGCCATCTTGAAAATAAAATGACCACTTTCAAGTTACTTTTTTTTTAAATTGATATAATAAGCAAAATTTGCAGTAAAATTATCAATTTTTGTTTTTAAAATATATTCAAAAATTTGAATTATTATTTAATTATCTAATAGAAATGTTGCATTCTTTTTCATGAATGACACAATATAACTTTAAATACATTTCACTGATGAGATCTATTTTCGTTTCCTAAACAACGGCGACGCTGATTATCTTGGACCTTGGAAAAAGTTTTGATAAAAATCACACATCTTGGTATCCTCTTAACATAAAATGCCTCCAAAAAAGGGAAAGGGCAAGGGAAAAGGCAAGGGGAAGAAGCCAGAAGGAGAAAGTGGACCCGTTGAACTGCCGGAACCAACAGAGAAGGAACTGCTTTTGAAGAAGGAGTGAGTTGATCAGTTTGGTCCATACATTCTGCGGGGGAGTGTCGGGCAGGCAGGTTGCCGTCGCAGCTCAGGCCGTTTACTTTGTAGCAGATTCCATCATCTCAACTAGATTTGGGTCAAGTCTACTTTTGATGTTAAACCTGGAAGATTGTCTTATTCCACTGCTTTTATGATCTGGTAATTGTGTATGATACTGTATTGATACATTCTAACTAGACTAATTAATTATTTTCTATCCATTTTTTAAAATCAGATTGGAAACACTGACTGATGAACTTGCCAGCCTCAAGAAAAAAGTTGAAGAACTGTATCCTTTATTTCATCATCATCATCATGTAGAGGTTAACTCATTGCATGCACTTGCGCAGGTTTAGGACGGTTTTGATCATGCATATCAAATTAACTTAATTCGAATCGCTCAGACCACCAGTGCTTATCCAGTCTCAATTTGTTCTAATGTTTTTTAATTGAATAGCTAATTGATACTGAAAGTTGTTATGACTACAGCTAGGTAAAGTGGGTGGGTGCAAAATATGTTTATTTCATTCTTGCAGTATTCTCCTTGTTTTACATCTCATGCAACAATAAATACCCATTGAGTAAGGTTCAATTGCTTCTATAAGTTTTTTGAAACTTTGAATCTAAAGCCCCTCACAAGTGTTGGGAGCCTAACAAGTTTGATGGCAAAATTTCACTTAAATTGTATCATAATGGGAAAGACGATATCATTTAAGACACTTTTCTCCAAGGATTTCCAAAACAAATGTTTGAAGTTGAATATTGATGAAAGAATACACAATTTAAGAAATGATGTATTCTTTTATCAATATTTATCAACATTTTTTTTTTTTTTTTTGGGGGGGGGAGGGGAATCTTTACTGAAGTGTGTCTTAAATGACATCCTCTTTCACATTACGATACAATTAAATTGGCGATGAATTTGGGGCTCCCAACACTTTAGAGGGGCTTTAACTATCTTTTGCCTAATAGACGAGCAAGCTAACTAGTTCAATTAATTTGTTTTCTAAAGTATAATTTGGGCCATTAGCCTTGCAATATATCTTTACAAAAACATTAGAATTAATAACAGAATAGTATTTTCAGTATGGATTATTGGCAGGGAACCCCAAAATACAAAGTAGAAATTATGATTGGTCCCTCTTAAGATAGAAAACTATTTACAGGTATATAGCATTCACAACCAGAATGTATCACTACTATTATCCTTAATGAGATTAATTAACAAAGCCGAGGGGAAAATGAATGGTTACAGCAAGAAGCACAACAAACCAGGATTGAAAGTGTGAGTATACCATAATATTTTCCCCATGGTATTTGCATCCATGGCAATGAGAGAGGGAGGGAGGGAGGGAGGGGGAGAGAGAGAGCAACAGTGAGAGAGAGAGAGAGAGAGAGAGAGAGAGAGAGAGAGAGAGAGAGAGAGAGAGAGAGAGAGAGAGAGAGAGGGGGGTTAAAATATCTATATTAAGAGGAGAGAGAATGAAGAGGTTAATTATCTCCTTTTTGAGATATTCCATTCATGATCATTATTGGCTCTAAAAATAAAATGTTCAGTCTCTTTGCTATCAATATTAATAGTTGTACCATATTATAAATCATGAAATGAATAATGTGTATTTACAACAAAGGCTATTTTGAGGTTGATGTTACTTTTTCTTGACTGTCACGAAACCAAGTACATGGTTGATATCAGATATATGCTCTGACAACATTTGATTCAGGATTAAATTCTTCAGATATGATACAAAGGGTTAGGATTGCAATTAGGTTTTAAATTAGGGTTCATTTCTAGACTTTTTTTTTTGCATAGCAAACAAAATGTTTGATTTTTCCCTCTTGAATCTTTCAGCACGAGTACATGTCATACATGGCCAAGAAGGCTCACAAGCGCCAGTCTACTATTGTAACTCTGAGTGATCAAAATCAGCAGGAAATCAGAAACATTCAGGAAGAAGTGGAGAAGATGCTGAAAGAGTTTGAAGACAAGAAACATGGTAAGGTCTACAATCTAACTTGCATTAGTTTGTATTTGTTATTGATGACATGTTGAGGTGTTGGGGTTATGTTAGGTCACATGAGAAATGTTGTTTATCTCATTTATGCTATTGTCAAATCTTTGATTATCTTTTTCATTTTCTTTATCTTATACCCTCATAACCCTTGTCACCATTGCACTTTACACAGGCAATAATTGTTTTGTCTTTTTCTCTTTCTTTCAGAATTACAAGATGTTCTAATGGCAAGAGAGGCTGAGCTAGCAAAGACAAGGAAAGAATTGGAAGAGTTAGATGATTTTAAGGTGAGCAAACTAAAATATAAAAAAGACGTAAATGAATGTGAAGAAATCAGCAGTATTTTACTGTAGTACAAAGTACATAATGGTTCATATTAGAAGAAAGTAATTGTGGGATAAAAATGTAAGATTTACTAATTTGATGAGGATAAGACGATTCATTCAGCTGTCTTAAAACCACATCTTTTTACTCACATATTGTCACTTATTTATTACATTGATTTGTACAACAAATGAAATGTAATTTAATTTGTTATTTGTCCCCTGAATATTTCTTGCTTCCACATCCCACCTGAAATTCACAAGTGTTAATTGCCATCTAAATGAGTAATAATTAGTAACAATCATTGCAAGTGACTTTTCATATTTTGTTTCCCTTTTAATTTGTTTCTCATAGAAACCATTGATAAATAAAACTATACTTAAAGGCCACAATCTCATTAAACAAAACACTTTTCTTGCCTCCTTTGAATGTTCTATATATATATATATATATATATAAGTTTCACTGTAATTCCCTTGAATCAATATCAAACAAGCTAAAGCAAATGATATTAAGCTGACGATACATCCTTTCATCATAAAATATATCAATATCATATTTTGTTCGTCCATGTCTCCTTAGATCAAGATTAATGTATCTTGATCACATTAAAGTTTCATTATCCCTCTTTGCCCACAAACAACTGCAGAAATTACAACAGGAGCAAGTAAACAAGATCAGAGAGTTGGAGAAGGAAGTATTGAGGATGCGAGGGCAACATACAGAAACTATTCAGAAACTCAAGACTCAGTTTTTAACAGAGAAGAAACACTTTCAGGCCGATTCAGAGTCTAGGATCCAGATAGTGGCTAGACAGGCCAATAAGGTAACTAGTACATTGATATTTCGATTGCATTTGATGTGTTGTAGAAAATCTGTATACTGGATGAGAAACATTATGAAAAGAGCTTAAAATTAACCAATCGTCAAAATTATTAAATCATTCTTTACTCAATGGAAAATTGTGGAAACAGGCAAGTCATTTAAGATTATGTACCTGAAGCTTCTTGTATTTTTGACCGATCATGTCCACACAAGTCTTTGACCATGAAAACCGTGTAAGAGCACCCGACTACAGGTCTCCTTTTTCAATGTTTTATTGTGTGCATCCATAGGAGGCCATGCATTGCCTGGGCGAACACACCACCAAGATCAAGGACGAAAACCGCAAGCTCCGCCACGAACTCCTCAACCTGATCCACAGGTCAAGGGCGCTGCACGGCCACAAGGAAGAACTGGAGAAGCAGCAACGAGACCTGATACGGGAGCAGCAGTACGCAGCGGACCTCAAGAGACTCAAAGGCACCAGGCAGCACAAGGTCCTCAAGTCGTTCGGGATGCTGGACGATGAGGAGTCCCCAGAGAAGACGGCCTCAAGATAACTTGGGAGGAGGGATTTCCCGGACCCGGAGGAGACTACATCGTGAAGATTTTGTAGGGACTGGATCACAAAGACAATCGGAGGATGGGAGGGTTTGCCTCTAGCAGGGGTTTGGTTCCACATGGGCCACTAAGTTTTAAATCTGGACCCCAAAATTTTGAATTTTAACAGGAACCCCATGTTCACAGATGTTTAATGTGGACCCCCTGTTAAAAAGTGTATGGTGGGTCCCTGCATGTGCTAGAATGTTGCAAAGTCTACCTTTGTAAATGCAGATTGACTGTCAATGTCTTTATTCAAAGTGTTTCCATGCCCAAGGAAATTGCAAGTTTTTGGCATAAATATCGGGCCATTGCTTATTTCGATGGACCAAGCACTTTCTGCAAATCAATCCCTCGCTCTCTCTCTCTCTCTCTCTCTCTCTCTCTCTCTCTCTCTCTCTCTCCCCCCACATTAACAGAAGTTATCTGGTAATGTTGAATTTAGAATTTGAACTCCAAAGTATGGTTGCTATAATTGGGGCATAGAGAAATTGTTAAGAGTGCTTTTCAGCAGCCCTTTGTATAGATTGCTAAATTATTTATCATCTGTCTCTTGCATCCACTCACATTCCTTTCTATTGTATGTTTTTTCTCTCCCTCTTTCTCTATTTTCCTCTTTTAATAAAATTAAATATTAATCTATAGGATTGTAATATTTATGAGCCCTTGTCATACACTGTATATGTGCTACTTCTTAAAGATTAAATGCACATGTATTGAATCTCAAACAGTCCACAATTCTTTGTTATTATATTCATTAACAAAAGCATATGAATCTCAATACATGAGGTATTTGTTTTGCTTGGTACATTGCAGACTTCACCCAAACAAACATGAAATGAAGATTGTTGATTTCGAAAGTAGTAACTTTAATTGAGCTGTTGATTTTCTTGTTCAGCAACATAACAAAAGGTTAAATAAAGATAATAACTGTTTATCTTTCAACACAAATTAGAAAACAAAACAATGTTTACCAACTTAAAATGGTAGAAAACACAAACAATATTAATACTGACAATTTTTAGAAAAAGAATCTCAGAACATTTCAAAACAAGGCACTATGTTTATGCATTTTAAATGTAATTTGAAATACTCAAATAAACAAGGTAAAAGTTATGTACCATATATGCTTTTCTAAAGAAGGGTAGTCGAGTTTGATTGCACCCATTAGACTGTTCTCATGATAACAGAATGATAAAGTTATGATCATACCATCAGTCTAGAGCAAGAAGGATGTAAACTATTGTGTTTTATGAGTTAAAGCCTGTCTGCACTAGTTTGGCCAGGGGGATTAAACCTTCCTGCAAGGTCACTGACAGGTGGTTATTTCATCAAATCAGCTCTCAATTAACATACCGGTAAGAAAAAGGAGATTAGGGGGGCCAACAGGCACAGCTTAGGCATTGTTTGCTATATAGAGGGCGCAAGTAGCTATAAGTAGTGAAGTGGGGCTTTAATGCCCTTCTAGCTCTTGGCAGATTACATTGATAACTCAGTATCAAAGTAGGCTTGTTGATAAATCATCTGGATTTGGCCACTTTTAAAACCATCAGGAAATTAAATATGGATCGAGTCCTGAACAATATGATTTGAGTAAATTTTGCCAAGTTTTTCTCCTGAAACAAAGCCACCTTAGAAGTTTTTTTCTCTATTGGGTATATTTGAAGTCGTAATAACCAATGCAATATGCAATTCAAGCTCACCCAAGTTTTAATGATTGCAATTTTATTCATGACGCTTCTTGAAAAGATTTTATGGCATGGGAAGGACTAAGAGGATATCTATATATTTTGTTATGTATTGTACAGAATCCGTCCTAAATTGCTCTTCAATTCTTTACACAAATTTGTATTTTTTGTCATACAATTGATGCTATATTAATATTGTTGTACAATAAATGATGTTAATGAATACATCTATATTGAATTAGAATACGTGATGAACAGAAGTATTATTTATTGGAATGATCGCCATTTTCATACTGAATTATAATTTTTCTTTGATAAAAGTAAAAAATCCTCCAAAAGTGTAAATGAGAAAAGTTTTGTCAAATACATACGGTACCTACACATTCATTAAGTAAGCAACATCTTATGCACTGCATAACAAAACCTTTCCCAATTCCTTCCACATGGCATCTAGATTGACGAGAACTCAACTTTTATCTTGAAAGTTGGTCAGGGCAAGTCATGTGTCATGATCATACTACCACAGTAACACCTATTACAAATTACACATACATTATTACGATGCATCTTTCTTCATTCGGGTATAAAAAAAGTGTTCAGTGCTTTTACATCTCAGATGCATTTTCTTTCTTTGGCGGTAATCAACATATGAAAAAATAAATGTACTTTCCTTTCATATAATTAACAAAAGCTGCTTAGTAACATAATAATACTGTACAACCTCCATAAAAGGCAAGAAGTCCTTCAAACACAAACAATCTACAAACAAAACATGATTTTTATTCTCTCGAATCTACTTCAATCAACTTAATACAGACTTTAACAAAATAAACTTTGCTTTTCAAAATGCTGTTAGCACCATGTGGTATTAGCATTCATAGTAATACCATTTCAATGTTATGACAGTGCATACTCTTGACCTGTTAAATAAAAAAGCCCTGGGTGGGGGGTGTTTCACAAAGAGTAAGATTGACTTTAATTTGGTCTCAACTATGACAGGCCATTCATGGCACTGTTTGCTCTCACAATTATGATCTTTAGATTATATTTTTTTCCTCCAATAACAAATTATCGAAAGATATAAATTCTGTAGATTTGTGACCATGATTTATACGTTCCTTGAGAGACCAATGCCAGTAAATAGTGAGAGCAAACAGTGGCATGAAAGGCCTGCCCTAGGTAAGTCCAACTTAAAGTTGATCTTAGTCTTTGTGAAACACCCCCCTAGTCTTCCCAACCCATTCTCCCTGGGAATGTTGCAAGGCTTGAATGTTCATACCACCAATATTTTACTGTCACTGGCTGAAATTACAGTATGCCATTCGGCTTATGCATAGTATATGTTTTCCTTTAATTGGCATCAAGGTGATATAAATTATTTCTCTCCCGTCTACTAATACTGTTACATATCAGCCTCTTTTACAAAACATTCATGACAGGCTTTTACTCTGTTTCACTAGTTTCATTGGAATTTAAGGCACTGAATGACTGGAAATCGTACATATGTAACCTCCTTTTATGACTAAAATAGGCCATTTCTGTAATGTGTAAATCATATAAAATGTGTAAAGTGCTTGGTCACGAACTACATGTATACATTCACCTCTGTTATAGTTATTGTACAGTCCAACCTGTCTATCAAGGTCACCCGAGACAAACAGAAAAAGTGGCCACTGTAGACAGGTAGCCTTTCTACACAGGATCATAAACATTTTATTCTCGAAGGAGATACAGTACATGGCCACTATAGAGAGGTGGCCACGAAGACAGGCTTGACTGTAGTTAGATGCATATCACATTACATTAAGTGTACACATACTTGTGTCAGACAAACAATTAAGTTTGTCTGCTGAAATGATAACTGATGTATACAATCTGCAGTCTGACTGACATCACGTACACCATACCTTCTAGTCGATGGAGTCCGTCTACTCTACCAGGGAGTTCAGGGTCTTGATCTCTTTAGCGTACCCAAACCTGCAACAACAGATGAGAAATTAAATTTATTTATTATTTATTGAAAGGTTCATTAAAAAGACTGAAAATAGCAGCCCAAGAGCTGAATTACATTCAGTTTACAGTAAAATCACATGAAACACATAGCAGTATTAAAACAATCATTCCATAAAGCTTACAAGGATATATTCAAAGATTAAATTAATAAGATATAATATTATTCAAAAACTAGACATAATCAACATTATTATAAATGTAAACACATACTTTAAACATAATGTCTAGTTATGTTAGTAAAAGAGAAAATTGTAATGAAATTTGTTGGATATGTATCACCCTGAATCAAATTTGAAAACCTTTTCCCCCTAATGTTCAGCTTAGTAGTACCAGTACTAAAAATAGTAGCCTGCCCATCCCCCCCCCCCCCCCCCCCTCCATGCCCCACCATGATTATCTTGGATTTTGTAGTCATCCCACACTTACTCTATAGGTGTCTCTAGAATGAGTGGAATGTTGTCAAAGCGAGGATCGTTCATCAGACGTCTGAACCCCTCTAATCCAATCTTTCCTTTTCCAATGTTCTCATGACGGTCTAGGTGACATCCAACTGCTCCTAATGGATGATATAAAACATAATAAAAAATTAAAAAATTGGTAAATAGGTGTAAAATCATACAAAATGGCATGTTTATTAAAGCTGATGAACTACAGAGAATGAATTTTGCAACAAATCTGGTGCTTTTTGTTCAAATGTCAACTATTTGGGGTAATATGATCAGAGTGCAGAGATTTTTTCTTTTTCTTCTCAACCATTTCTTGACATACCACACAATACTGAAATCGTCTTGCATCACTATAACCCTCAGAAGATATGTACCTTGTTTCATCGATGATCACTCTTCCCCTTCAAAATTTGAGACATTGTCTCGTACATTACTTGTGGCAAAATATTGACTATACAGTGTAAAACACATTTACCGCTGACCCAGACCAAGATATCTCGGGCAGCATCATCAATATAAGTCATATCAAAGAAATATGACAAATACAATTGGAAAGGGAGGGTGGGGGGATGTTAGGGAGGTAAGCTTTCATAGTCTGCTACGACCATACCTTTGGAATCGTTGAGATGGACACCCTTCAGGTACTGGAAGCCAATTACTCTCTCAAACTCTGCCATCATTTTCTTGTAACCAGACTCAGTTGACAAGTCATATCCTATAAAGAAAAATCAGAAGAAAAGCAAGGAAATTACAGTTAGAGGTTGCATGGCGAACAGTCTGGTGGCAATGCTCTATACTCAATTTCCTGCACTAATTGCATTCCCAAGTGACATCCTCCACCAAAGACTACACCTAACTCTAGCCCTAAACCTAATGTAAGGACCACTTGCAACCACCACAGTATCCCTGTATCTTTGACTCATATAAACCCAGACTAATTATCAAAATCTACCCCCTGGACATCCACCCTCCAGATAACCACCCCAAGTCCACTACCCCCTAGAACAACTACCCCCTAGGACAACTAGTCCCTAGGGCAACCACCCTCTACAACGACTACCCCCTGGGACAAGTCGTCCTAGAGGGTGGTTGCCCTAGGAAGTAGTTGCCCTAGGGGGTAGTTGACTGGGAGTGATTGTTCTGGGGTGGATGTCCAGGGGGTAGTTGCCCAGATACAACCAAAATCACCACTTTGGATTGAGAAGGCACAAGATTTGGG